CTCCTCCCCATGGAAACCTCTCCCCCACAGGCAGGAGGCAAGTGTCACCGTGCCCAGGTCTCTCTGGAAAATTCCCAGAGTTCAGTTCTTTCCCGTGGTTCAACTGGAGGAACTGCATCTTTCTTGCTCATCACATCTCCTGGGATCTATTTCTGGCTTTGGCGGGCTTGATGTGGTGGCGTGTGTGGGTGTTCCTTTTTAATTTGGGGCCCGGAGCCGTCTGAGGCCCGGACCGGTAATTACGACGCAGAGCCAGTTATGGAAACAGCTCCTGAGAAAAGCCAGTGAGGAGACCTGGCCGAAAGTACCTCGGAGGTGAAGCCCCGGGCCTGCTCTGGCGGCGCTGAGATTTCCGGGTGCGCGAAACCCCTTCAGGACACAGGCTGACGGGTCACCATCCTGTGGCTCTTCCGTTGGCCTTGGAGGCCGTGGAGACCCGGGTGGGTCTTGCGTGAGGTCTGACATGGCCCCTTGGCCTTCGCCACGAGCAGGACTGGCCAGACGGGCCCAGCCTGTCCGCCCGGGGTGCTGGGGCAGCCTGCCCTCGCCTCAGGGGCCAGGCTGGGAGGAGGCGAGTCCCACAGCCACGTGACACGGTGGTGGCACCTGCTGGAGACACTGTGCCGTGGAAGCCACTCCCAGACCAGCAACGATGCCCCAGCCCCAGGGGCTGTGGGTGCTGGACACTGAGCCACTGTCCTGGGGACAGCAGCCCTTGGGAAGAGTGGCTGCCCCCCCCAGCCCCGGAGCACAGAGGGCTGGACGCGCTGACCGCTGAGCGCCTCTCGTGTCCACCTCGCACGGCTCCGTCCCTGCCCTCGAAGGGCTTTCTGTCCAGAGGGGCAGCTGAACCTGGAGCAGGAGCCCTGGCACCGGGGAAAGGGGGAGACCAACGGCCTGATCCGTGTGGGGTCCCAGGAGAAGGAGGCTCCTCAGCCGGCCTGAGAGGGAAGCAGCCTGTCGTGCCGGGAGGGCCGACCCCAGACAGCGTTCTCAGGAGGGGTCCCGGGGAGGGCGTTTGCAGCCAGAAGGTGCAAGAGGCCGAGAGGGACAGAGGGCAGGGCCAGGTCAGGGAGGGCTGGAGCACAGGGCTGAGCTTAGGCCCCTCCGTGGGCCCTGTGGGGCTGGGATGGGTCTGAGGGACGCGGGATGGGTCCACAGGTCAGAAGAGTCTGTTCTCTGAACAGCCACTCAGAGCTGGAGGGAGAGGGTGTCTGGAAGTCTTACTTTTTGGCCAGAAACAAGACAGATTTAGGTTGTCTGGGTGAGTCTAAATTCTGTCCGGGGCTCAAAAATAGCTGGAGCCTTTGTTGGTGTTGGGCCGACGGCCGCAGGGCTGGGCATCTGGAGGCCTGGCGTGCGAGTGGCAGGCGCAGTGCCCCGGACGTGGCTGGTGGCCGTGGCGGGTGGAGGCTCCTCCTGCCCACAGCAGGCCTTTCCTGGAAACGTGGGATCCAGAGGTGGTTTTAGCCGGGGCTGGAGGAGGAGGCCCAGGGTTCCATCAGCGCACGTTGGTGACTCACGATTGCTTATT